TTGATGTCACGTGATAAAACTCACGTTTGCTCCGCTCCTTCGCCATGTTTGTGGTTTAGCTTCCGCTTGCTTAGCTTGTTATTTGACAGGTTGGCAGTACTTTTTTCAATTTGAACGTAATAGAACTGCAGTATTTTTATATCATGGAAAAAGTTAGAAAAGATGCTTTCCTTGCGGGCTGTTCTCGCAGTCTGACAGGATGAGATGCTGTTTTATATGAAGAGAAAGTTTCATTACGTCAAGGTATCGATCAATCCGAATCCCAGTGGCGTAGCAAGGGGGTTAAAGGGAGTGTATCATGTACCGGGCGCAACTCGCAGAGGTGCGCCCAAATGGTCTCCATGACAAACTATATGTGTTTCTGGAGGGGGAGGGGTGCGCCAATAAAGTGTCGTGTCCCGGGCGCCAGTTATGTTCGCTACACCACTGCCGAATCCAGCATCTTCGTTATAGGTCAAGAGTTGTGGCCTGAAGTAGAATTTGATGACATCATAAGCTATTTGGTTTTGACAACAAATTACTACATTCTTTCACAAATAAAAGTTGGCAAATCTTTACAGGCCCATAACTATTTTACAAGCGGCTGTTTCTCCTGATTATGTGTACTCTTTCATAACGCTCCTGATGTGCAGTTGGATTGTGGCCATTCACACCCATGTATAATGTTACCCATGTATAATGATACCCAATTTGGTGATCACTCATCATAAAATGAGGAAGGTTTTCCATTGGGGTAAAAAAACTTTTTCAATAATATATTATTATTAACCATTCCCGACCGATTTCAAACGGCGACAAGTTATTGCTGTGGTGTCTAAATAAAAGTATCAACAAAATGCAAAAATAAGTTGTTGCTTTATAGGTAATTGAGAAAAAAGTTTTGCTTTTCTGTTCAATTATTTTATCAGAAAAATCGTGTGACATGTTTGCGAACAAAGTAGAGATAGATAGTTTCGGGTCGGAACCGTTTCGAACTCGGAACTACTAGGAACAGTTCCGACCATATTACATAGAACTCGGAACTACTAGGAACAGTTCCGACCATATTACATATGTTATTTTGGATTACCATTGTTATGTCTATCACGAATTGTCGAGAAGATCGAATCGGGGGGGAAGAGGGATATTCAGATTTCATGGAAGTCTATATTTTCCTTGGGGGTCCTAGAGAATAAAGAGGTTTCAAGTCGACAAAACAAGTGACGCACGAACATGCGCAATTGTCCGGCGCCATCTTTGTGGTTTACGCAGTGCCGGCCCGAGGCAAGTTTTAGGATGGAGCGAGATCCTATTATGGCGCCCCCTTGGTTGCCCTTAATTTATACCTTTAATTTTCTTTACCACTGAGGCGCTCCCTAGGACTTAGCGCTTGGAGCGGCTGCACCGTTCGCCCTATGGTAGGGCCGGCTCTGGGTTTACGTGCACTTTAACTGGAGTTGTTGTGTTGTTTATTCGTCGCGAATATCACTATGTTAAACTGTTGTGTAATTAGGTGTAACTACTTCACTCAAGAACAAAGAAACGTCATTGTTTAAAATTCCCGGCATTATTTGTCATCGCGGACCCCAAACTGAGGAGCTTTTACGACGAAGGCAATTTGCATGGCTCTCGACAATTAACCAGAAAAATTTCGATACGGATAAAGTGAATATCAATACACGAGTTTTTCAGAAACATTTCATTTCGGGTAAGCAATAACATTTGATTACTAGTTATCAATAACAACCGGATATTTTAGTTCAAATAGATAATGATTATGTTCTACCTCTATTTTTCAAATTTCAGTTTGTTTTCTTAGTGTCTGCTTGTAATAAATATATAGTAGAGTTAATATTAAATCCTAGCAGTTATATTGTATGTAATTTGTACGTCTGTGGAACCAATGGTTGATTGGCAACTACGTCATTAGTGATGAGTTAGGCAGTATTTGCGCACCTTTAGGCGCTAAGAAAAGTTAACAATTATTCCAATAGAGGATTTGCAATTTTGAGGAAGTTATAATGGGATTGAAACAGGTATTCGCATTATCACGTACAGTACATATTTGTAAATCTATACCCCTGGACCCACCTTTGCCAAAATATAAGTAGGAATAAATATAATAAGAAAATTTCAAATTTTTTGATTTCCAATTTGCTACATGTGGAAATAAACACGTGTGCCAAACGTGTTCTCGAAATGAATGAGTCTTTTTTTTTTAACTCTTTCCGCCCTGTGGGCACTAGAGAGCCTATTTTTGCAAGCCCATTATGGGTTCGGCCAGCCCCACAATGGGTAGCCGGGTGCTGAGGGACGGGTCCGACATATCCGAACGGATCACCCCCGAAAAATTCCTGGGGATTATTTGACCCGTCCGGATTCGATCCCGGGTCTCCCAGAGTGGTAGGCTGCCACTTTGACCGCTCGGCGCTGAAGTGAATGGATCGATATTGCAACTACGATAAATTCGCAAGGGTACTGCCGAAAAAGCAAAGGCGTGTTCGTCCACTCGTACGGTCAACTTGAGAGTGGAACAGCAAAAGGGATAAGCGGGCCAGTGGCGCAACGGATAACGCGTCTGACTACGGATCAGAAGATTCCAGGTTCGAATCCTGGCTGGCTCGGCTCCGTGTAGTTTTTTTTTTTTTTTTTCATTTACTTTGTGCATTATTTTAAATATAGTCGCATAAATGTTAAAATTCAGAACGCGTCGTTCGAGAACAATCATACGTTCTTACTATTCGTTGGGAAAGATACGACTCTACCGATGTTTGAAAGCGTGCACTTTGCTTCTGATATTCGGAATTAGTGTCTGTCTAGTAATTGGAACGAAACCGGCAAATAATAGGTTGCGGCCGACGTTTTCAACGCGAAAACGTGTACGTCGGACGTTCAGCGCCGCTTTCCTATAAGCCTGGAAGTTTGACAATGGTGTTTGGATAGTCAGTGGAATCATGCTCGACATTCCAAGCACCATTGCCAAACTTCTAGGCCTTCAGGAAAGCGGCGCTGAACGTCCGACGTACACGTTTTCGCGTTGAAAACGTCGGCCGCAACCTCTCTAATATTTTATAATAGTCTTTTCGCAAACCGAATCATTTGATATATAAAAATGTACGTATTCCTGCTTAAGAACGTCCTATAGGAACTACCGGTGACGTGAAACAAATTAAGAGTGTCGTCTGGTCTAAAGTTCGTTAAATTTAATCGTCGCACAGAGTACGGAGGAAAAAAGAGAACGGCAAACCGCTTTTTCTGGCATTAAAACTACTATTCGCTGGTAGTCGGTCCTTGGTTTGAGCTCGACTAGCGGACCGACCACAGAGTTTTCCGGGTTTTCTTAGCGTGTCTTAAGCTTAGTTCACACTGAGCGCGATTCGCTGGCGAAAGCGAAAAACAGAGCGAATAACCTTCAAAATGACTCGACACCGCTTCATAATACAGTAGATCCCCTATAAGACGGGTTCCTATAATTACGATTCCTATAAGACGGCGAAAAAATTGTGGCGGTATCCGTAAACAACGGTAAAAAAAACTCTTATAATTACGTAAAACGTCTTCGGGCAGCCGAAATACTTTCCGCCGTCCAGCGCCACGCTACGGACAGTTTAGGCGGGTAAATTGAGTTTAGTATCGTCTGTACATATAATTATATATAAATTATATATAAATTAGGTACTGTATATATAATTATATATTAACTTAATTTATTGTAACTTTATTATAATTTATATATATACTTTTTATATAATTATATTTAAATAGTAATAACGATAGATATATTTACCTTCGAAGATTAAATCTAAAAACTTCAACAAAGCAACAAAAATAGTGAAATTCCAAAATTTTCTTCCCTCGCTAACTGTTCCGCTCATTCTTTTATTCAGCGCGCTTGCAGCGCTTTTAGCGCATGTGTTCAATTATTAAGCCTACTGTCAGCGCACTAGCAGCACCTCTCGATCACGCTAAAAATAGTGCTTACAAGATGGACGCCTCCATGAAAAAAGTATCTTTTCCGATTACCAACTAATAATTACTTTTTTGCTGTTTTAAATGAGCAGATTTTTAATGGTGACATACGAAAATGGATTTTAAAGATTTCATTCGAATATTCGTGGTGGCACTCAATTATTGGTGTTTGCTACACTCAGGTTTTCTTTTAGACCCTTCGGGGAACTACGGCCTTGCATCCTAAAAACTGCACGCCAACATTAAACATAGACAGTACAGTAGCCTTACTTACTGTACGCCGTTCAGAGGGATCCTACCTTTTTGTATTGTCTATCTCCTCTCCCTCTTCCTTCCCCTCCCCCTCTTCCTTTTCCACTAGCTAAACACCTCGTGTACAACCGATATCTTTAATATATGTATATGCTTAATGGTTAAAACGGTTGTGCGGCTATGGAACTATAATATTGATTCTTTCAAGAACTCATTCTGTTTTGTGTATTGTATATTTTTATCATCTTTAACTTTTCGTCTTACGGCACTACGAGCACCTCTTTAGCAAGCCAGTTACAGATTCTTTATGTTCGATTAGGCCCACAATGAGACCGAATGGTGGGGGAGGAAACAGACAATTCAGAATCGACCATCCCCGAAAAATTCTCGGGATTTTTCGACTCATCTGCATTCGATCCCAGATTCCCCAGAGCGGTAGGCCGCTGCCTTATTCGCTTTTCCATACGGCCGTCGCCGGTTCTCGGTTATAATCAATTGGAGTAAACTTATTTAATATATTGGCCTCGATACATTGGATTTAACAATTATACCGATTTTCTAGTTTAATTTTTAAAAATTTTAAACCAATGATAAAAATTAAATTTTTCAAAAGCTCATTTAATTTTGATATCTCCGAAACAGCGACACCGTATAATAATAAATTTTTCTTTTAATGACGTCACATAATTTTAAGAATTAAAGCTTTATTTTTTTACGTACGTTTTAAATAAGCGAAAATAATTTTACGTAAATTTATTTAATTGCCTAAAAAATAATATATAACTATTAATATAATTTTATGTAAAAATTGGCAATTCTAATTTGTCCGCATTGTGTATAAAATCTTTGGTTGGCAACGTTTCTTCATTCGTCATATTTGTAGCAATCGAGTCTAGTGTAATAGTTATTCTGTTTTTAGACGAAGAAAGAGTGCAAAGTAAGGAATTAGAATAATTATTTTCTTTCTTATTTTTTAATATGCGATTGAATACGAAACTAGTTAAACGTTATTCTCTTCTTAAAGTTAGTAATTGGTCGAATTTGTACGGTAATTTATTAAGCCTAAGTAAGGTCGAGAACATTGAAAACAATCGGTTTTAATACATATTTTGTCACGTTTTACGTTTGAAAGTTCAAATTTTAGGTCCAAATGCGTAAATTACGTGCAGGATATATAAAATATTGGTGTAAAGTAACTGAAGCAATTCACTCGAATTGCACCATTGTAAGAAAAGATTTGGTATTGTTCACTTCATTGTAAAAACATTTATTATTCGTCGATGAAACTGATTAATAAAAGTCATCTGTGACGTACACAAATCAAGTGTGACGTATTAGACATTTCTCGTGTTTAATGTATTACTTTATTTATATATTTATTTATTTATTTAGACGTGATTTTATTGAATGAAAAGTATCTGTTAGTAGTTAATTGTAATCGAATTTTCAATATTACTCAATCATTTTTGATATTTTAAATGTTAAATTTGAAAATTTGGAACATTTTTCGAAAGTAGGACGACTAATAATTTATCGAACTTTACATATATATATATATATATATATATACAGTATATTTTATATAATAATCACGTGTGCTTATGGCGTGCAGGTAGGTAAATAATAGCGGTCAAAATCAATCATTTTTTTTTTTATAATTGAAAATGGATGTTTAAGCACGTACTACCGTCATTTCGTCGCCATGTTTGAAAGGAGAAACGCCATGGCGTACGATGTATTCTACATTCAAAATTTGGGTTTTCTAAGTTAGAAAAATGTGTATAATGTTAGGGATGATAATGAGAAATTAGTTTGCATGACTATACATGCAGAGATGTACTGTACTTGTGCTCTTTGTTAGCAGTCTCACTTCCTTTCTCAAACATGGCATTGAAGTGTGATAGTGCACACTGTCCATTTCTAAGTATTGAAATCTTTGGTATTAATACCAAATATTTTCTTCTTAACATAAACTATTTTCACGTGTTTTCTCTAAATACCTATGATTTGTATATTCGTATGTGTACACACACACTCACACACTGTGTTTACTACTTTTAATCCTGAAAATATAGGTATTAGTCATCATCTGAACAGTTTTTTCAGATTATTATGCAGTTTTAAGGACAACTAATCCATACTTTTGAACTTTAAGTCGATATAAGCCATCTATAATATGTTTTCAGTATTTGATATAAAAATGTGTGTGTGATAACAATTGTAAAAATTTTTTTTATAAAACTGAGTGAAAATAACATTGATTTCCTACATTAAGCTGTAATATATTGCTTTATACTTCTAGGTCATCATTGAAAATATTTTAGTTAAACAAGTGAAGCATTGACTTAGTTGGAAATTCTTGCAGCATATAACATTGGTTTTTATAATGGATTCGTTTGTGGAATATTGTTTCGTTTCTAGTGCTTTCTTTATCTTGCTTTTTATCAAAAATCATTGCTTAAAATATTCTACCAAATAGTAATATCAAAGTTCTCTCTCAATAATTGTATATCTTGAAATGAGTGACCATCTGATTTTGGAGTAAAGTTTGTATTGACAAACTTTACTCCAAAAAGCAATTAGATTTGTTGGCATTGTGTTTTGAAATTTTTCTAATTTAGTAAATTTTGCAACTAATTTATCTAAATTTTCTAGCACTTTCTTTGATCTTAAGTGCAACAGTAAGCTATTTACTTAAGTCTTGTCTGGCTTAAGCAAATATCAGAGATAACATACATAAATTTTCTGATTCTCATATTAAATAATTGTTAAGAAATTATGGTATTTGTTTAATACAGGTTGCCAAAGTGGTCAATATTGACCCCCAGGGTCGATATAACATTATTATGGAGTCGATTATCAAGCTTAAGCTAAGGATAGGGAGAGCTAAGCATTGAGCTTATCCGTCTCACTGATTGTCAGTTACAAAAATTATTAACAAATATACAATAAATGAAAATAAAGCAAAATTAAAAGAAATGTATTAAAATAGTAAGTGCTTTGTTTTGCTTGTAACACACACTTTTTGGTGGGGGTTGATGTGAGGTTTGAAAACTTGTAGGGAGTCAATGATCAAAAAAGTTTGGCGACCCTTGGTTTAACATGATTTGTTCTGTGACACTAACTTTGGATATTTTTTCAGTTCAGAGCAAAATGACAAAATCTGCTTTTTCAATTATATAAATGAAAGATCATTTTCTATCGTTTCTTCTTTTGTTTTCATAACTTATACTGCTATTAAATTGATCATTAAATGTGGTTTCAGGTTTTAATATCCTCTGATCTAGTCCCACCATGAGTGAGGATGAATCTTCATGCATTTTATAAAAATTAGATTTGTGTGTGGAAATAAGTTTGAATTGAATTCATTCAATATTAATTTTACAAATAAAAATACAGTAATTGCCATTGTTAAACATTACTGCAATTTTTCTAGTCATATAATTTTTTTTTACTACACATTTAAAATGATTTGTTAATTTTTTTTCCTCTTCTTCTAAAGTAACTAATATATTATAATAACTAAGCCATCTTGTTCCTGGTAGGTCTTTTCACGACCTAGTATAATTATGAGCAGTATTATGATCAAACACAGCTTTATATTCTGTTTTGTATTGGGATTATTGAACCAGTTATATAATTCTTTCAATGTAAATTCTAAACTTGAAGATAGCTCAAACGATGCAGTTGAATCACAAAGATGATGTAGCAAACACATTTCGTAAGTTTTCAATTAAGAATTTGATTTTAGGAAAGTATAATAAACAATTTTTAGGGCAAAGATTACTTGGATCTCTCTACCAATGACCATGATGATTCTAGTATTTAATTTTTTTTCAAATTGAGAAAATATTGATGTACATTTTACTGTTAGGTATTATGCCTAAGTATAAATTATCATTCTATTTGGCTGTACTTTATATTTCAAAAATACACAAGTATCCCTTATATAACATAGCAGTTTCATTCCAAAAAAGTGCCTTGTTATGCAAATCTGTGCTATACAAAACAAAGGACTAATTCCAAACATAGATTTGCATTCCAGAAATTTGTAACAAAAAAGAATATTATACTTTTGCTAAGAGAAATATGTTAATTAAAGCAATAAATAATTAACTAACAATCATAAAGTACTGTATTGTGCATTAATATTAATTTTAGTTAAACAAAGGCATTTTCTTTTGAGAGTATCATTGTCATCTCAACTTTTTTGTTGATCTTGATCAGAAGTATCTGCAACATTTTCATATCTTTTATTTTTATCAATAAAAAATTTTATCGATGGCAAAATAAAAATCGAAAATTTATTTTAGTGGGTTGGTAGTGACAGTCTTAAAGGCTAAAATCTGAAAGCAACAACAATGACTATATTGAATAACAAAGTTTACACTTAAAAATTTGTGAAATTTTGTACAAAGCATTTCCAAAACTGTTAATGAAATCAGTAGTAGTGTTGTATGGGGGATATCCCCAATTTTCAAACTATTAGAGCAAAACTATATTGTACAAGTGATAAACTGTATATTGATTTATTGTTCTTGCTTCCAGTTAGTTTTCTTGCAGATACTCTTGAATCTAGCTCATTTTTAATGTAATGCACTGTAACTGAATAAAATACACCAGCGTATTTGTGAGACCAATGATTGCTTCTCATAACCAAGAGCTGTTTTACGTTCTTTGTCTCATGAGACGAGTTTCATTTAAAATTTTCAGATTATTTGAAACTAGCTACTGTGGGCAATATCACTGATATCCAATTTTGCTTATAAGCAAGATGATTAATTGAAGTGAATCCTTTAATCCTTGTTTCCTCTGAATCTAAATGGTCTTGGGTCTCTTGTAATGTTTTGTGTTTTTATAAATATAAAAATGAGACACTACATCCTCCTTTTTTGCATTTTTAGGTATTGTTGCCAATAAATGACATTATGTTGATTTTGAAAGAATTTTGTATTGTTTTTGACACAGAATTAGTGTTTTAAGCTTCAAATTCCATTACCAATTGGATGATTAATAAATATTACTCAGTATATTTACCATTTTTTTTGTCATTTTAAAAACATGCTACACTAGATATTTTGTCTTATGTTTCAATTGATACTGACTCATCTTGACTTCAGCTTGTTCTGAACTACAAAAGGTAATCTATAATTAGTGTTTTTGACAATACAATGACTAATACAATGACTTGTAGTCACTATCTTCAACTATTGCTATACAGTCGACCCCCATAACACTGTTGACTAGAACGTGTGCTGGGCTGTGAACGACTCACGTATTTGTAAAATCTAAGTGACTCGTACGACATGGAATTCATATAAAACGGAATAACCAACAGTGTTATGGGGGGGTCGACTGTATAAGGGTATGTTTACTTCTCAGCTAATAGTGCTACTTCTGAACACTGGAAGCGACATCATTAGCATGTATATTCGTGCTTACATGTCCTTCGAAAGTAAACGTGAATGCTAACAAGAAATATGGCAATTTTCTGCAAATATTTTAAATGTTACATTACAGATAGAACTACAGTGGAACCTCGGTATACGACCTTAATCCGTTCCCGATGTTTGGACTTATACCGAATTGGACGTATACCAAACCAACCTTTCCCATAAGAAGTAATGTAAAAATGATTAATCTGTTCTCGTGTAAAAAAAATGGCTGGCTTTAAACACCTCGCTTTCCTGGCTAGTTCCTGCTTGATTTTTCGTGAGATCAGAGTGTATCTTTTTAGCTTTCTCGCAAATAATTGCTTCCGATACGCTGTCTCCAGCATGTTTTTCAGTTATCCAAAGCAAAAGCAATTTCTCGACATGATCTAATGTCTTCGATCTCTGTTTAGAAATTAATTTAACCCCTTTCGCAACGTTAGCAGATTTAATAATGTCTTTATTTTTCGCGATTGTCCATATCGTCGTTCTCAGAATACGGTAA